AATCCACCATCTGTGTATTATCATATTTACAGGCCAGCTCAAATTACAATTATTTTCTGTAACCTTCCTAGCACCATAGCTTCAGTCCCAGGGGTTGCTGCTAATTTTGCTTTTGTGCCCATGAAAGTGACGGTTGTCAGTGCTGCGAAGGGAATACATGTACTAGTGTTTTGCCACCCAGTGCAATCTTGTTACTCTAGGTTAAGTACAGCATAGCCTGTGCAGAGCAAGGCTCTCTCTACCTCCTGACTTCAAGAGCACCCCTTAAAGTACTGTATCTTAAGCTCTCTCCGACGAGTAATAAAACCAACGTTGTGCCACTTTGTACCAGTATTTCACTGTGACACAATGCTTGCCAGGAACTGTATTGAGATTGACCAAAACTCATGCCCCCTCCTCCAAATTTCGCAGCTCCCCCCCTCCTCCACTGAAGGCATTTGACTCCTTTTTTACTCTACCGGGGTACAATTCCAAACCAAGGAGCCATTATTCTGTGTGAGGCCTGAGGCAGGTTATTGGCAAGCTATTTAACTGTGGGCACCACAGCTGCTCCAATCATAACATCCCTCAAATTATTCCTCATAACATCCTTATAGCCAGCCGAGAGAGGAGAGCTTTATCCTATCAGTCGATATGAATTCAAACTACATCCCAGAGATACAAGGAGAAACTCCATGGGGTAAACTCAGGAGTAACCAAGTTCCCTGACTGAGAGACTGTGCAGATACCAAAAGTAATGCCCCCACACAGTAAAGTACAGAAGAACAGTTTGGGCTGAATTACTTCCCTTTCACTACAGAAACAATGAGCTGATCAATTACTTTAACTAATGGCAGGGACTGTGCATGTGGAGGAATAGTGGAAACAAGCTCACATGACCCATTGCTGTATTACACACCGTCCCAGTTGTGTCAGGGTAAAGCCTTGGTCAATATAATTGAGATAGTAATTTTGCAACAGGCACAACCTCATCTACTGTGGCAGATAGGGAGGCTGAACTTTCAGGTTCCAGAAGAGGAGTAGTTAAAGGTCAATATTCCTTCATGGATGACAAAGCTCAGAGGCCATGTGGAGACTGGTAAACATGCCAGGCAAAGCGAAATCTTAGGCAAGCTACCTTACTCCACACACCACCACCACCAACAACAACAACAACAAGATTCCATTTATTGAGCGCCTTTCACATCGGGAGGACGTCCCAAGGCGCTGTGCAGTTGGGTCAGGACCCGAGCAAGGGGGAAATGGTCAGGGTGAGGGGAGGGAAGGGAGGGAGCGAGGAGGGGGTAGAGAGTCGAGAGGGGAGCTGAAGGCACGGTCAAAGAGAAAGGTCTTGAGACCGGCCTTGAAGGAGGAAAGGGAGGAGGCGGCGAAGGCACTGGGGGATAGAGTTCCAGAGCCTAGGGGCTGAGAGGCTGAAGGCCCGGGCACCGATGGTAGGGCGGTTGGGGCGGGGGATGTGGAGCAGACCGGAACCAGAGGAACGGAGGGTACGGGCGGGTAGGTAGGGGGATAGTAGGTCGGAGAGGTAGGAGGGAGCAAGGCCGTGAATGGCCTTGTAAGTGAGGATGAGGATCTTGAATTCGATCCTCTGGGGGATGGGGAGCCAGTGGAGGCGAGCGAGGGTGGGAGTGATGTGGTTGCGAAGCCTGGTGCGGGACAGTACACGAGCTGCAGAGTTCTGAATGACCTGCAGCTTGTGGAGGGAGGTGCCGGGAAGGCCGGCGAGGAGAGAGTTCCCATAGTCCAGCCTTGAGGTGATAAAGGCGTGGACCAGAGTTTACCTAGCAGTAAGTGGAACCCGTTGTTAGATTGCTTTTATGGGGATAATAATCTGTTCAAACAAATTAAACAAATAAAATAATGATTTGGTTACCCAATCCATGACTGTCTGTAGGACACTGCTGTGCGCAATTGTCTGCCACTTTTTTCGCCCACAAAATATACAGTCAATTCTCTTTACAGTGTATTCTGTGAAGCACCTTGAGACGTCTTGAAGACGTCATAAGGCGATATATCAAATGCAAGGATTATTATTATTATAATTCAAAATAGTTCAAGGTCCTCACATTCGCCTACAAATCCATTCACTCCCTGACAGCTCTGATCTTCTCCAACCGTACTCCTCTGCTGGCCTCTCCACTCAGCTACTATCTCCGGGACACCCTATACTCTTAGCCTCTGGAACTAACTGCCCTTATCCCTCCATCTCACCTCCGAGACGTAATTCTGCATGAAGGGCAGCATATAAATGCACATTTTTGTCGAACACTATATTATACATACGAGTTGTTGTTGATTAGTCCTGCAGCACTGGGGTCACTGTTGCATTAAATAACGTCATGCTGTGTGACTTTTTGAGAGTAGTTGCAAAACTCCTTCACAGGTTTAGCAATGTGGGCTGCCAATAATATTCTAATTTCTAACAGATTTGTAATTGTTGCCTTTTAATAATAAGGGGATTCCCCTCTCCTCAGTCCAGGGAATAAAATATGTAAAAACCTGAGCCAACTGCTGTCAGGCAGGTTCAAAAACACCAGAAATCATTTTTAACTTACAGCTGCTGAGACTGGGGCCAACCAATGCAACAGAATGTAGTTATTTAGTTAAGACTATTAACAGCCTGGACGCTGCTCTGAGTGGCTGCACCATACATCACCCACCATTTCACCTGACACACAGCGGTGCCATATTCATTGCTGTGTCATCCTCTCCTATTTGTGCGAGTGAACGCAATATGTACCAGAAGGTAACTGGAGCCTGGGGAACCAGTAAAAAGAAAAAAAAGTCAAATGGCTTTTGGGAGAGGAAATGAGAGAAATGTAAGGAGGAAAAGAGCATGACAACCACTTTCTAACCTAATTAACATGTGTGCAGTTGTTACTTAGTTTCAATCTCTTAAAACTACTTGAGTGATGGGATTTAGAAACAAGAATCCTGTCTACTTTTCACCTCCCTAATCCAGGAGCGCTGAGATCATGTGTATCATGCCTTGACTAGTGCCCTGGTTGAGATTGGCCAACATCAGCACAAGCCTGTCACTTGCTTGTCTGCATTGTGGTGCTTTTATCCCCAGCCATCAGAGGAAGCAGCTTTGTCAAGACTTTGGATCGGGAGAGTGAGAAAGATATTCTGAGGTTAGCTGTTTGGAGTCATGTTGCTGTGAGCATATCAGATGTTTCTGAGGTTAAACTGAAATCTGGAGTGCCATTTTTTGGTTGGGAGGCATGTAATTCCATGCAGCTTCTTTCTGAAAGGTGTTTGGAGCACACACTATCTTTGCAGCTTATAGTGTTGGGATGACGGATATCACAGTCATGAAAGAAAAACAATGGTGGGAAAATGCAGAACACCATACATAAATGTGCAGTCAAGCCACTTGGCTAACCAAGCTGAAAGCAATTTAACCCAACATTTACCCCTTTGATGTGAAGGAAATCTGTTGTGGAATTAATAACGAACAAATCATCAATCTTAAAACAAATTGATGCCTGAAACCACATGGTAAAAATTATAAAATGGGGAGGGGAAAGAATGTAGAATTGGAGAATGAGAAAAATCAAACACGAAGACAATGAAGAGTTAATTTTAAGAAAATAAAGTAGTTATTTGCTGAAAACTGCAATTGTTTCTTATCAAAATCAAGATTTCAACTTTCCCAGCAGAAATCTCTTGTGTGCGTCACAAAAAGGGAAGAGTTTTTAATTATTGCTTCCATTTCAAGATGTACCGTTTTAACTGCGCTTTAGGTCATCTTTTCTCTCCCCACCCTCTTCAGCTCTCAACCCCTAGTTCAGGTGCCCAAACAGCAGTGTGAACAGCTTTGAGATGTCATCACAATGTGAAAGGTGCTATATAAATGTAAATTGTATTCCTTTGGTTTCACAAGTTTTACAAATAACATGGTAGTAGATTGTGTAGCAAGTAAAGTTTCACCAATAATTAGAGGTATAAACAGGGCAAGCCACCAGTCCCCACTCCATTGTAACAGGAAACTTACAACAATAAAAACTTGCATTAATTAAAGCACCTTCACAAAGGATATTGTCTTGCAGTGCTTTGACCGCATCTCCAGCTTGGGTTTTTCCGTTGACACTATCTTTCCTTAAAGGGAAAGGCCTTTATACAAATCATTTTGTTTCACATTTCCCCCACTTATTTGGGAAGAGAAGACGTGGGACATTCTTGCAACTGGGATATGTCAACAACTTTCTTTAAACATCAGGAGGACGAGTTTGCAGGGCTATTGGGAGAGAGCGGGGGAGTGAGATTGAATTGGATAGCTCTTTTCAAAGAGCTGGCGCAGACAGAATCGTCCAAATGGTCTCCTTCTGTGCTGCACGATTCTATGATCTGCTTAATGATTATCGATAATGGTTGTCCATACAGCCATTCCCTTTTTTAATCGCTGAAGCAGCCAACTAAATAATTATTCTTGCATTTGATATAGTGCTTTATCATATCTCTGAGTCGTCTCAAAACGCTTCACAGAATACACTGTAAAGTGAATTGACTGTAGTATATTTGGGGACAAAACAAAATATAAATATAAACAGTATATTTAAAGCTGTTTACACACAGCAATGGTTCTTTAAGACCGCAAGCAAAGCGCTCTGTCTAATGAAAAAATTCTTAGACAAGCTAAGTGGATATTTCATAATAAAGTAGACAATTGTTGCAATTTGTTAATACATTGTTTGACAAATTGTCTTTGTTCCCTTTGAAGTTTTATTTCACTTCTTGTTAAAAGCTAAAAGCCTGATTACTCAGAGGTCCAACATTCCACCTTGTCTCAGGTGGTAAGACCATTTTCTCTTAAAAGTTAAGATTGCACAGAATTGTGGAAAATTCTTAAATTCAGTCTTAACTTTAAGAAATGTGGAAAATTGTAGATAGGGTATCATACAGAGGCTCAGTTGCAGTGAGTGTCAGATAAACATCAATGATTGAGTGCAGAAAATCTTTATAGGGTTGATTTCAAATAATTAACTAAATGGGAGGAGTATGGAAATTGTGTTTCATTTATTTTAAATACAAGTCAATGGTTACACTTCTGAAAATGGAGCAATCTATTTTGTACAGTGATAGATTAAAAGTTGAATTTCAATTATATTTTCAGGAACTTAACGGCCAAATGCAGTGTAAGGATTGATATCATCTGTTTTCCATGTGCACCGCAACAAGGAATGGGGGAAGTCAAGGTCATCAGCTAGCACATTCTCACTCTTAGAGTATGTCTACTGTTACTCAAATTTTATACAGCAGAATTAAACAAATGCACAGAATGCACTGTAAACTGGGGTTACTTTTTGCAATAAGCACAAAATATGGCATTGTTAGTCTTTGCAGCTTTTGGTATATTTATAGAAGTTTTTTTTAAATGTAAAACATAGACAACTTGAATTTTCAGTTCTTGAGATCCTAATTCGTCTGCACATGGGCTGATGATTTGCAAATCAACCAATTTATGTAAGTCCAAGGCATGACTTTTGGGAGGTGAGAATATGAAGCACGTGTTCTCCATGAACTTGCCAAAGAAAAGATGAAAGAGATTTAGGGGTGTTAGTTGAATCATCGATACCCATATCAAAACAGTGTGCATCAGCATTAAAAAGGCAAAAAGGATGCTGGAAAATCAGTTGCAGACCCCCGGACATCACACTTAAGTGATATTAGGTCAGACTGCATCCAGAGTGTGCTGCTTACAGTGCTGGTTGGATAAGGGGCTGCTCAGACCTGAGAGATCAATGAGGATGATCTCAGGTTAAAGGAATGTGCTATGAGTACTCAGCCTCTTCAATTTTGAAAGAAGACATCTCAGGAGGGACCTTATAAAGTAATACACGTTTCTAAATGGGATCGAAACAGTAAAAATTACTTTTGGATATCCTGAGCAGAACAAAAGAACACAGGTTTAGGATTACAAAGGACATTTTCAGGACTGACCCCAGAAAGTATTTGTTTATTCAAAGGGTAATTAACAACTGGAACAGGTTGCCACTTGAAGGGTGGGCCAGGACACAGGAATCATTTACAAAACAGCTCGATGGGAAGACAGAAATGAGAACAAATGGGCTGAAGGCGCTCAAACTAATCTTGTGATGTATTACACCTAGTAGTTCAGTAATAGGTAGCCAGTGTGCTGTAGTTTGGTACATTTACTAGTCAACAGGCTGTTAACGTGATCAATGTGGAACCTGCACTGCCAGAGACTCCCAAGAAATCAGCTCCATAGCAGCTTTGTAGGGCTCATTGTTTAAACACAATACTGTACCATGCACACTCCACAGTCTAAAGTAATTTTACTAAGGCAAGAATGTTTGACACAACTTAAATTAGGAGCCGGGAAATTGTGGTAAGGGGATAACTGGGACAGTCTTGATGGTAGGCAGTGGTCCGACAGGTGGAGCAACATATTCCTCTTCACGCAGCAAACGGAGAAGTATTCGCTTTTGGTCCTTTGGCCATTGGTAAATGAGCGTGTTGTTCAGCCAGTGAGGCACGTGATCCTGCAACAAAAGGGGGATTTGAAGTTTACAATGTAAAATGGGCCGAGGGAAAACACTGAAGAGTATCATCCATTTGTTTACACAAACCACATCTTGGGTAGCATTGTGCTTGTTTATTGCTGTGAGAGGTTTTAGTTATACTCTTAATCCCTTTGAAGCCTTACTGATCAATCCTATAATCTGGGTTTAGCTGTTTTATTCTGGATCATGTAGAGGGAAGAGCTTTATTTGATTAGGTCTGGACATTAGACCAGTTTCCCGCATGGACACTTTAGATCTCAGCATTAGCATTTACCAAGCTATAAAACTGCAATAATAATACTTACATTTTTAAAAAATATTAATATTACAGTATGTACCAGTTAAAAAAAAGTTTAATGTCAAGGTTGCTCTGTATGTTGTCAACTTTCCTCCAAATGGGTTGTGATCCAGTGAGACAGCAATCAGCAGGTACAAGTCTTGGTCTCTTCAAATTAGTACTGCATCTACTTATAGGACAATGCCATCTTGTGGCTATTTAATTGTTGTCTGCTTTTGATACATTAGCATTGTAATCTCTGAAACCAGCACAGGCAAACCTATTCAGCAACTAGTCACTTGAATTCTAACTAGTTACTGTAAGTTGAGGTATAGTTAAAAAAAATTGACAGGAGTAGCAAAAAACATATGCCTGATTTGGTGAATTCAGAGAAATTAAGCCAGATGTCACCAACCGAAAGCTTAAAATAACAACTGCCACCGTTTCCAGGAATTCTCCCTTCAATTTTCTAACCTTTGCTGCAGCTCTATGATTCATGTTGGGAAATTTTCAATCTGGACATAAGTATTGGATATCTTGTGCTGAAATTATTATTGAATCCATCAGTTGATTCCTATAAATGTCAGGTTCAAATTCCATTTTTGTCTACTGCGTTCATGTACAGAGTTGTATTTTGCATTTTTGCATTATTTTTGCAGAGCAATGGAAGGTTTTTTTTTACTTGCCTTGGTGGCATTGGCAAACAGTACAGGAATAAACCTGAAGTTCATACTTGCTTGCTGTATAAACTCAATCTGCATCTGAAAGGAAAAACACAAACAACAGTTAAGGCTCAACTGTGATCAGCCAAGGTCACACACTATCTTAGTTGAGGTGTAACATAGACTGAGACAGAAAAGCTTCCACACCAGCGTCTTTGGACATTTGCACCAGAATGATCCCAGATGATAACAGATCCAATCACTGGAGGAAGGGAATGAAAACTGGCAGGGCTTTATTTGTTAGGGTTTATTCCTGATTTCCCCCTCCCCAGGATTCGTCCCAACTCTCTTGGAAATCAGTAAACTGAGTATCAGCTGAGTGGCTCATATTTTCTGGTTTCTCATCTGTACATTGGATATTTGGGTTAAGCACTAAAGCATTGCCATTGTCATCTAGACAGTTGGGAAGAAACTGGGGGTGGGAGGCAAATTCAGCAATGGGAAAATCATGAATATATTTCAAAATCTCATTCGCTTGAGCTTCAGAACTTGGTTACTATTTGACGTTTTCACACCTCTGGGGACTGGAATATTAAATGGCTCCACTTCAACTTTTAAACTGGAGCATTGGCACTGTGCCCTTTCCTTTTACCTGGAGACTTGGATTAAAAAAGGGATAAAATATATCTTCTAAACAATCCTTGTACTGTTATCAAATTGGTAGGTTTCCAAGACAATTACAACTTCACATCAGTTAAAACAAATAATTATTCCTAATTCCTTAAACATTAAGGATTGGATGATGCTAAAACTGTGCCACTTGTCCTGAGAGAATGAATCTCTGATCATGTCAATATGCATAATTTATTTTGAGAATTTGATGGAGTGTGGTGAATAAGACTATCTTTGAAAGCCATGCCACTTTTTACACTGACACTGTATGTGATCAGACACTTGCCTGGAGATAAAAGAAGACTGGATGAACTCAACTCTGAAATTGCTCACTCTGCTGGCACTCACTTTCTGCTTTCTTGTCTAAAAATTGGACGCTATATCAAATGCAAGGATTATTATTATTATATTATTGGTTCTAAGTAACAGAGCTTTGCTGTTGCTGAGACACTGGGCGGGTGGGGGGAAAGAGAGAGTCAGGTACAATTAGGAATCCTTTTCAATTATTATTAAGTAAATTAGTTCCTTCCTATAAGTGCGCCAGCAAGTTGGAAATTCTACTTTTGTCTAGTACCTTCTATAGAGATGATTTGTGATTTAATGGTTTATTTTTGCAGTGTATGCCAAAGCTGGTTATATCTATCTATGTGTGGGCTTGGGCCTTCATTGGATGGTTAGGGTGGTCTCAATTCTGAGAATATATCTGACTTATTCTAAAGCTTTATGTAAAATGTTCTGTTACCAGAACTTATTTTTTTTTAAAAAAAGGATTTAAATAAACAATGAAAATTCCAGTGTTAATATACTTATTCCATAACCTGATTACAAATGCTGAATTGAAAATCGGCTTATATCAAGATTCACAAATTCTGTTTCCTCACCATTTTATGGATGTATTTTGTGTGCAAACTGTGTCCATCTTTTAACTGCTCCAACTCAGTTCCTTCAATGTCCCGTTTGTACTTTGGACTAATTGCTACTACAATCATCACTGCCCTCTGCAAAAGAAGAACAAAGCAATGACTATTCTGCAATTATAGTCCACCTCATGTATGATTGCCATTATTATTAGTGTGATAATGTTGTGTTATTGCTGACAATAATATGAATGTATTTTATTGTATTGTATTTCAGAACTCATTGTTCTGACGAAAGGTCATCGACGTGAAACGTTAACTCACTTTCCTTTCTCCATAGCTGCTGCCTGATCTGCTGAGTATTCCCAGTCACTTCTGTTTTTATTTCAGATTTCCAACATATGCAGTATTTTGTCTTTTGTAATAAAACTTGCCCTTAATTGAGACATTTGGTGAGCAAAGTTTTTGTGGTTCATACACTTCATCTGAACTCTTCAATCAGACTTCAGTTTCATTACTCATTCCTTATAATCGTTTTCATAAATGTATTACCACGGTCTCCTTTAAGATACAAATGTAGCTGATTACAGCTAAAGATAGTGCTGAAAGTAATGTGGCCAAGTTCAAATACCAAACGAGGGGCAGGATAGGGTTGCAGACTAGATACTCACTTGAGTTGCGAGTATAAAGGTTAATTCAATATCAAGTCTAGTTTCTGTATAATCTTTATCGTCCACCTGAACAAACGGATGAGACCTTGACTTAACGTCGCAACAACAACAAAATTATATTTGTATAGCGTGCTTCACGTCGGGAGGATGTCCCAAGGCGCTGGCTCATCTGAAGGATGGCACATCTAACAATGCAGCACTCCCAACTCCTCACGCCCCCAGGACTGCATTGAAGTGCCAGCCTAGACTGTGAGCTCAAATCCTGTTTGCTTCTAAATGCAGATTGACCATTCTTTGTCATGTTCATACTGTTAGGATGAGCAATGGCAGCATCCTGTATAATGGTCTCAAGCATTTCCCCAATATATATGTGTGATAACGTTTTATTTCACGTTTGTGTGACATTCAGCATCCAACTCTCTACTTACATTAGTCAGGTAACCTTCCATCCACTTGATAATGTCTATACCACGAACAGAGTCTTCAAAAATATCAATCTGCAGTAAAGCAGCAACTCAGGTTAGTTTCCATTGTAACATTCACATTGAATGATGTGGTCTGAGAATTCATCAGAGAACACATTTTTGCCATGGCGGAGTAGAGGGGATGAGGGATGTGGAGAAGGCAGAGCTGGCTGAATGAGCGCAAGTGTGGACAGCGGGAGAGGAAAGGATCAGGCTCAATTAAGGAAACCCCTGTGGTTTGAATAGGCTATCAACACTCACTGCCCACCTGACATAAATCATGGTCACTTGGGTGAACTAAAAATGTCCTAAGGAGAACTGATAAGAAATGACAAGAAAACAAAATGATAGTGAGTGAAGTCTGGAAACAGGGTAACCATCCTCATAAATGGGCAATGTGACATGTTCAGAAGGAATCCATATATAATGGGGTTTAAAATGCAATGATTTTGAATGCGATTCCTGGATAAGGAAACTAGAAATACATTACAATGACTCCTAGGAAGCTTCAAATGCAAGCTGGCTGGAACACATCTGGCTCCTGGCAGGATCAATACTTATGAATCCTGTGAGAATCCCGATTGTGATTTTTATAGTCTGTACTATCAAAGCACGAACCACCACCACTGGGCGAGGTATAGGAGGGAGTTTGTGGAACTAAACCTCAATAGAAGGGAAAACAAAGAATTTGACATTCTCAGGAGAGGGGAAGGAAGAATGTTGGAGAAGAAAAGAGAGAAAAAAAATGGAGACAGAGATGTAGGACTTACCGCTGCCTGAAAGCCATTTGTTCGCAGAAAGTTGACAAATATTAGAATTTCATCTGCTACGTCCACGGAGTAAGTTACAAATACTTTTCCTATAAGGGAAAAAGAGCGCAGTGAGCTGCTGAAAACCTGCAGACTTAATCTACTCCATCTGAGTTGTTTCCAGTGAGTAAACACTGATTATAATGGGTCAGGATTGAGGCAGTAATGTGCTGGTTTGTGGTGTACGGTACTCAGGGCTTGTGTATGTGGAGAGGATTACTAGCTTTTTTTCATGCAAAGGATTTGCTGTCAAAAAGCTCCAAAGTTATTTGCCTGATCATTGTTCTCACAGTAAACAGACAAACCATAGCATGGCCCGACTAACTGGTCAGCCCATCTCTTCTGGTTACCATTTCAATTAAACGTCCAATGGCAGCCAAGTGACTCATAAAGAAAAATGAAAATAGTAATTGTGCAGTGAAATTGTCTACAATTCAGGTGGGAGGAGGCTAGGGGCTCTATTCTGCTCCTCCTCAGGGCTCAGGGCATTCCCAGCTCCCCTTAAAGAGGTAGGTAGATTGGAGGGGGGAGTTGGTAGCGGTAGGGCTGAATCCTCTCTAGCTCTAGCCTGTGCTTATTAGAATTGACAATTATAGTATAAACCCGAATTGGACACTCACAGGTCAGTGTGAATGAATTTAAGAAACTGAGCAGGGCACTTCCTGAGATTGTTTCACTAAGATTTAGAGCTTCCTCTCTTAATTTATAAACGTATCTCAAAGCCCAAAGTTCCCCTCAGATGCGTTTTGCATACTTTGTGTTTGAAACGATTGTGACAGAACCTCGGTTTTCTTGGTTCCTTTGTGCTCCAAAAAAGTTACGATTTATCCTTCAGACAAACCACAACGAGCAGCTCACTTTATTGCAAGAGCAAAGCTTGAATCAGAAGTGGACTTGCTCTAACATGAATTAAGAGAGGAGTGGGCAAAATATGGCCCGGGCCATTTCGGGCCCGCCACATGATTCTATCCAGCCCGTCATTGTGCCTAGCAATAGAAAAAATTATAGTTTGTTCAGTCCCAGAAAGTCACACAAATTTTAGATTTGAATCTGACCGGGAACATCAGGCAATCACACTTCTAAATTGTGCGCACGCTCCCTTAAGTGTTGAATCAGGCTGACGTCAGAAATGTATGGATCAGCAAATTTTCAAACACGCGTGGCAACTGCGGCAATACTTTTCACTGAAGAGGACGTTAACTTGAAATGAGTTTATCAAAGAAGCAGAAAGTGGACCCTGAAGGCCGAATATTCAACAAAGAATGGACTTCTAAATATTTTTTTTAACCAGTGTGGGTGGAAAAGCTGTGTGCTTAATTTGCAAAGAAAGTGTGGCAGTGCTCAAAGACTACAACTTGAATCGCCATTTTGAGAGCAAACATGCTTGCAAATGTAAGAACGTTTCTGCCGAAGAAAAAGAGGAATAAAGCTGATGAGATTGTTGTTCGATTGCAAAAAGAGCAAAGCATTTTTACTAAACAATTTGGGTCCCAGGATGAGATTACAAGAGTGAGTTACGTGATTGCAAACAAAATTGCCAAAAACAGCAAACCATTCTCTGAAGGAGAATTTATAAAGGAATGTATGGTTGACTGCCTCGATTTTATGCCCAGACAAAAAAAAACAGTTCGAGAACATTAGCTTGTCAGGCGAACTATTGTTAGACGTGTTGAGGATATCTCTGAGAACCTATATTTGCAGTTACAAAATAAAGTAAGTGATTTTGCATGTTTTTCACTGGCACTCGACGGGAGTTGTGTTGTCAAAGACACAGCCCAGTTGATAATTTTTATTTGAGGTATCACCAAACATTTTGAGCTCACAGAAGAATTGGCATCAATGCAGTCAATGAAAGATACGACAACTCGAGAAGACTTTTTGGAGGCAGTAAATATGTGTATCTTAAAATTAGGAATGGAAACCATGGTGACTGTGACCACCGATGGAAGCCCAAATCTGACAAGCAAAAATGATGGGTTACTGAAAAGAATTCAAGATCAAGTCAAAGAAACAAATCCAGAACAGAATATTGTTTTTCTACACTGCATTATCCACCAAGAGGTCCTCTGTAAGAGTGTTCTAAAACTAAGCAATGTCATGGACACAGTTACGAAAGTGGTCAACTACATTCGAGCAAGAAGATTAAACCACAGGCAATTTGTAACTCTGCTTGAGGAATTGGAATCCAAGCCCACAGATTTTCTGTATCACACAAATGTAAGATGGCTTAGTTTAGGAAAGGTCTTGAAAAGAGTGTGGGAACTGAGAACAGAGATTGATTGATTTTTGGACATGAAACAAAAGATTTGGATTTCCCACAGCTGAATGATACGAATTGGCTCTCTGATTTTGCATTTGCCATTGATATCATGGACCACATGAATGAACTGAATTCAAAACTGCAACGGAAGGGGGAATTATACAGACTTTATTTTATGCATGTACAAATGTAAGACTTGATTTTGAACTATTATTAAGCATTTGCATCTATATTATTTGTTTGGCCCGCGAAGCTTACCAAAAATCGAAGTGGCCTGCCAGCCCAAATAATTGCCCATCCCTAATTTAAGAGCAGTTGTGTCCAAGTCCTTTGTTAGCTCCTACTAACTGTATCATGATGAGCAGCTAAATGACTGAACAGGGGACAGAAGGCACTTACGTAATGCGTCTGGAAGACTAGTTGTTTTGGGGACACGGCTCGCAGGCAGGTCTTGTGGAGCTGATAAAGGTTGGTGGACGTGTGAAATTCGATCAGAGGTCTGTTGGGAACGTATTTTCCGCTGGGCTAGAACTGCTTCCTTTCTGTTTCAAAAAGAGTTATGAGTTATTCTTTAGGCAAACCACAGCAAGTGGCTTACTGGTTTGCAAGGTTGAACATTAACTGTTTCTTTTGGCCATCTGGTAGGCTTTCACCCAATAGGGGTGAAGAACAAATCACAAACCACAACAAAATGAACGTTCTCACACAGGGTAAAAATACAAGCATTTTGAAGCAACACAAACATGTTATTGATACAAAATTACAACTGTTTTGAATACAAGTATGTATTATTTATGTCGAACCGCAGATTCATCACTAAACCATCAGTATTTAGTGAATAATTTTGATTAGTGAATAATAAACTACCATTGCATTGGAGCGTTGAAGAAAAAAATTGGAAAAGATCAATAATGTTGAGATGTATAATACAATCAAAAATTGTCACATACTGTACTTTGGTCCTGTGATGGGAGCTTACGTGGGATAATACTGGGTGAAAGTACTACCTACCATCTATGGGTGGCCCAATGGCTTCAACATTAAAGTGTTGGATCCATGACTCCAGACCTCTCCAGTTTGTAGCAACAACAACTTGCACTTATGTAGTGCCCTCCACGCAAGGTAGAGTCTCAGAACACTTAACAGTGGCGGAGCCCGACTCCGAGTCAGGGGTGGGCAGGGGGAGGTGACTGTAAGCATGGTCGGACGGGACTTGAAAAAGGGGAGATAGGGGGCAAGGTGGAGGAATTGAGTGTTCCAGAATTTTGGAGCGTAGTGGCTGAAAGTGCGACTTCCGATGGTAGAGTGGAGAATGTGAGGGACGAGCAGGAGGCCAGTGCCAGTCAAGCGGAGGCGCCGGGTGGTGAATTGGAGAGTGAGGAGGTTGGAAAAGTAGGGAGGTGCCAGGGAGTGAAGGGATTTGAACACGAGTGTGAGGATCTTGACGTTGATCCGTTTGGTGATGGGGAGCCAGTGGAGCCTGGGCAGAACTGGTGAGATGTGGGTATGGAGTTTGGTTCGGGTCAGTATGTGGGCAGCAGAGTTCTGAATGAGTTGGATATTTTGAATGGTGGAGCTGGGGAGACCGGTGAGGAGTGCGTTTGAGTAATCCAGGCGGGAGGTGATGCATGAACGAGGGTTTCGGCTGCATTTGGCGTAAGGTACGGTCAGAGGTGGGCAATGTGGAGGTAGATTGGACGCCTAGATTGTGCACTGGTTTGGTGAGTGTAAGGGGGAGCTCAGGGAGGTTGAGGGTTTAGATCTACAGGATAGCGTAGCACCAGAAAAACCTAATGTGGCACCTATCACCTTGCAACTTAACACCCTGTGAGGTTTGTTGAACAGAATGAGGGAAGGAGTCCCTCAGGAATTCATCTCTTACCGACCAGAAATGAAACTCGATGGCCAAAGGGCTGCTTGTGCAAAGATGTCCTGGGTGATCCTATCCCAGAGTTTAAAGCAACAATTTGGAAATGTTTTAAAATTCAATTGAAGTATTTAATTAACATTTAATTAATTAAATGCATAATTAATTAAATGATTAAGTGTTATATAATATATAATAATATATATAATATTTGATAGAGTAGATAGGGAGAAACTGTTTCCACTGGCAGGTGAGTCGGTACCCAGGGGACATAGATTTATGATAATTGGCAGAAGAACCAGAGAGGAGATGAGGAGACATTTTGTTTTAATACAGAGAGTTGATACGGTCTGGAATACACTACTCCAAAGGGTGCTGGAAACAGATTCAATAACAACTTTCAAAAGGGAATTGGCTAGGTACTTGAAAAGGAAAATTTTGCAGGTTTATGGGGAAAGAATGGGATAGTGGAACTTCCAAAGAAACTACTTGGCCCAGAAACGATGGGCCAAGTAGTTTCCTTTTTTGCTGTAATATTCTAGGATTCTATGATTATAATATTATAAAATAAAAGTACTCCTCCCAGCTGGACGTCGTGCTCCACCCGTCAAGCACTCTGGGATGCTACCCTGCGTGATGAGTGCTATATAAATGCAAGTTGTTATTTAAAGACCCTTAGCTTCGAAAAGCAATTACCCAGAAGTTTCCTGGGGTGTACAGGCGTCATATGATATCATATGATGCTTTCAGCCATCTTTCTCCCACTCACCACTGTTGCCCCCCACCCCTTCGCCCCCCATCCCGAGCTCGGGTGCAAATCTGGGACTGTCCAGCACCTTGCGACGTCTTCCACATATGAAAGGCCTTATATAAATGCAAATTTGCATTGAATTGTATCAGTCTGTTTCTCATTTCACGTTTTGATGTTGCTTCATTCTTATTTTATTCTCACATTGTTTTCCTTGGTTCATTCATTTTTAAATTTTACTAAAACACAATCATCTTTTTGAGTTACAAATGGGATCCAATATGAATGAACAAAAACTTGCATTTATATAGCGCACTGCACGCAGGGGCATGTCCCGGAGCGCTTTACAGTGGCGGAGTCTGACTCTGAGCCAGGGAGAGAGGGACGGGGAGGTGACCATAAGCAAAATCAAAAAAGGTCTTTAGGTGGGATTTGAAGGTGGGGAGGGAAGGGGCAAGGTGGAGGGATTGAGGGAGAGAGCTCCAGAGTTTTGGGGCATAGTGGCTGAAGGCACGGCCAACGATGGTGGAATGGAGGGCATGAGGGACAAACAGGAGACTGGAGGCAGCCAAGTGGAGGCAGTGAGTGGTGGGTCAGCAGGTTGGATAGATAGAGAGGTGCGAGGGCCTAAAGGGATTTGAAATCGAGTATCATGAAATTGATCCATTCAGTAATTGGGAGCCAGTGGAGCTTGGCAAGGACTGGTGTGATGGGGGTACAGAGTTTTGTGTGGGTGAGTATCCGGGCGGTGGAGTTTTGAATTAATTGGATTTTGTGTATGGTGGAGCTGGGGAGACCAGCGAGGAGGGCATTAGAATAGTCCAGACAGGAAGTGACAAAGGTGTGGACAAGGGTTTCAGACAGGGTTGACAGATGTTTAAACAACAATGCTCCAGAAAACACCAAAATATAAAATACTGAAGATGCTGGCATAGGTGCTTAGTGACGTACTCACCCAAAATCCTGCTGTGCTTGAACAAGTTGCCTGAAGCTGCTCTGGGCACCTCCACCGTATTGATAGCTCGAAAAGAATGGAGGAAGGAAGTCAGCCATCATACCTGGATGCAACTGAGCAGGAGCCACAGGCATCTCCTGTCTTGATTTTATGGGTGGAGTGAAGGGGAAGTGTGGATGTGCATTGGCATGGCACTGGCTGCACTCACAGACGGCAGGATTATAATTTGCACCATCTGAAAGGAAAAAAGTGTAAAAAATTAACTGGAGCTATACTTCAAAACTTCTCACCAAGAATAAATCTACTTCTGTATTTGCAGCTCAGAGAATTTGTACAAGAAAACTTCTAATCACAACCTGTAAGAGACTGACCATTTGCCAGCAGTTACACGGGCTCTGTACTTTTAATGGTCAGTTTCTATTTTTTCTCTGACTGGTACCTCTACTTTCCTGGTGCCATTCATTCAATGTGATGGGTGGCCAAGTCTATATGACATCTATGATCTCGAAGGATCAACAAGTCAGGAAACTAGAAACTAAGCATAATAAAGAAATGGGCTGGACAGTGACTTAGTGCGCTATGCTTTCACTTCTAGGATTTAGATTTGAAATTAGTTTGATAGGATAGGTGAGGCTTCCTCTATTGGCTGCAGATATCCTGAATAAAATAGGTTTTGAAAGTAATCTCGTCTTCAGTCCAAATGGCAAAAACTGCCCAGATTTGGTTAGTAATGTCCCTCAGAAAGGTTACTGATTTTCTGATACGGGAAATGGCAACACACCAGTGCAATAGGGTCAAGAGTGTCCTTCAGGTGTCAAATATTCCATCTGGCCCATAGCCTGTAAGTTTCTCTGAAAAGTTAAGAGGATGCTTTATTGTACGAGGAAGTTCTTAATTTGAAAAGCAGCTTTCCTCCGTTTTTAAAAAAGACTGGCTTCTAAAATGTTCACAAATCTGTGTGATTCAAATTTTGAAGATAAAATGGTCTAACAGACTAAGTTGTAGTAAGTATCAAATGTACAACAACTTACATTTATTTATATAGCGCTTTTTCACATTGGGACATTAGGAGGATATCTCAAAGAACTTTACACGGCTGATTGGGAATTTGAGCTGGGAGGGGAGTGTTGAGTTGGGTAGAGGGTGTTTTGCAGGTGAATTGTTGGTCTTAAGATCGGCTGCCAAAAGTACGATTAAATTGACCCCATCGTGGCTCTTGTACAAACCACATTCTGGGGCAGCTCTTAACCTGTCAGGGACCTGACATGTTCATACCTTGTCAGAACACTAAGAGTCTAGAAGCCTTGTGGTGCATCAGCTGTGACCTACAGTGCAGAAAGCCTCCTCCATAACTCCACTCACCATCAGGAGAGTGATATTAATTAAGAGGGCCACTGAGCTGGAGAGTCACTATGTTTAGCACAGCTGCAGGTCCACTGGAAAGTTTCCAGCAACAGAGAGCTCATTAAAGTACAAGGCCAAAAAATCACACACCTGGGCATTCTTTTACCAGAGCTGTAAAGAGATAGATCAGACTTTCATGACACACACGGTCCCTTTAAGAATCAGATCTGCTTAATGTTCGTACTCACCAACCAAACAATTGGATTGCAACTATTTTAATTGTACAGCAATTTAGTTTAGCACAATTAGAGGCACTTTATACCCATTGGGCTGTAAAAACTGCCAGAGATACACAGATGATCTCACTTTGAACCACATTATAGAATCTGCTGACAAGTTCCAGCATGTTCTGTGGTCATGGAGGCGCGATCAGTGAAGGGAATGAATGGTGAATCTTCGGATAAAGTTTCAGAACAGACGTGACAAGTAATTGGCTGGAATTGAGGAGCAAACATGAATGAATGACAGGGACTCAAACAAGTAGGGGTGTCTGTGTCCCAGCAATGGATCCATTTGTTCCTAATCTTGAGCTATGCACTGGTGAGCAGTCCTTATAAGGAATGCACTCAGCTCCAGTTTTTGAAAATGAATTTATGATCCCAGATTTCAATCAGGGATTAGTGACTGCTCTCCAGCCCACAGCCTGCACTGTTGAGTGAGTTCTCTGCTATCCCATACAGTACAGAGGTACAGAAAGATCCTTCTGCTTCTCTGAGACTGCTCTCCTGACTCTGTTTTTCTCTGTCTGTCTGCAGATCTCTCTTTCTCTAACCCATAATATAACATACCTGTATCAGATATCTCACTATTGGCCTGGAATCATTTTATAAGTGTACTGGAATTTGTTCTTGAAGATGTCAAGCACCCTCCTGTTAAATTGAGGACTGAAGCAAACATACATTGATGACTGGAACAGGTTGTTGTTAAGGATGGTGGGGCCAGCACACTGGACTCATTTAAAAAAAAACAGCTTGAAGTTGTGATAGGGAACGGTAGGGTGGCTATTCTGGTGGGATGAGATCGGAGGGCCGAAGGGTCTCTTCATCGGAACCAATCTTGTCATGTTGTGATTTGTTAGTGGAAGGGTTCACTTTTGTAGCAAAACATCTGTCCAAGGAAACAACTCCAGAATTCAAAATCAAGAGGAAAGATGTAGCTCTACAAAAATCTAACTTTATATTCACTAATCATTAGCATTTCAAGGCCATGCTCATGTACCTTTCCCCATTTGTTAATCCCTTCTCTGCTGACTGAGAATGAGTGTTCACTATTTACTTCCGGTTATGTTTCTGTCTTTTACGAATCTTAGGAGTGGAATCTGTAATGTTTCTTAAGACGTTGCTTGTGATGACTAGGATAAAGGAACGAGTTACAAAACATCACGAATTTCATTCCTGTACTATCCCTGGTATGTTACAGTGGTTCAGTCCAAGAGAATTCTTGGTTTAGCTCAGTGTTTGGGTCTAAAAGTGACAATTCAATACCTCAGATCGCACACCAACTGTAGATTTGATGTTTCGATTAATGCTAACTTCTGTTATTTGGTTTGAGCTAAATATCTGCTTCACTAATGACAGAGTACAGGTAGCTGGAGTGGGGTCAAAATGAAAGATGGTAGGAGAATGGCATAGTGGGCTGGGGAGCACTGTGGTAAGCTGCACCTGACTGGCAGGTCAGACACCAACAGCAATAGTTAAAGACAACATTCCCCGTCCCCTACAATCTGCCCATTCCTTGCCATATACTAATCTGGTGCTTTTTTTTAAAAAAAGAATTTGACTAATGCAGCATTAAGTTGCCTTTCCTGGGACATTCCCTGCTCTGTGTGGGTGTGAGGGGAGTCTTATTCTAGATTTACTTGCGATTTGTTCATTTCAAACCTATGTCTCTAGATTTTCACATTACTCCTTTTAACAAGTTCTTTCAAAAAAAAATTGGTCACTTCAATCCATGACTGTTTGTGGGACACAGCTGTGCGCAATTGGCTGCTGCGTTTCGCCCACAAAATATACAGTCAATTCACTTTACAGTATATTCTGTGAAGTGCTTTGAGACGTCTTGAAAACGTCTCAAAGCACTTCACAGAATATATCAAATATGAAGATTATTATTATTATTAAGTATCTTCCCTGGAAGGACGATCATAACTTATTAAGTAGCTGACTACTCTCCCACTCAGGGCTACCTTCAGTGCCTTGTGACGTCCTCCTGACGTGAAAGGCACTGTACAAATGTAATTTTGCTGTTGTTGTTACACATAATGCCAGGATACAGATTACAGCAACACAGTCGTGTATGCAGTAGCAAAAATTGTAATATCAAATTTGCAGTATCTATTACACACGTTACTTTGAGAATACAGTATATATTGTTCCAAATAAATCATGTGGATTAGAAACACCAGCGAGGACTATATGGTTCAAATGGCCTGTGTTGGTGCTCTGATCTATGTACTGGAGTTCTTTCTGAAGAAGATAAAGCATATTTTGTTTCAAAATTGCTACCAGTCTTATATTCGCTGGCAAATCAAAACCAGTGCAGCTCTGCAGGGCTGTGATTTACTGGTGAAAGAGTCCACGTGCGAGAGTTGTGAAATTGTGAGTACGTGTGTGAGGTTACTGTGTGGGGGACATAGATTTCCCACACAGTGTTGGTCAAGCACAAGATCCCAATTCTTTGGTGGTAGTGTAAAGGCAGGTGTCAGATGAAGTGATAGGAACTGATATCTGGTAGTGTACATTTTTATATATATATATTATACACACAGAGTTTATAATATTCGTCTTTGAAGGAATCAGGTTAAATCCAACTGATTAAAATAGTCCTTGTGTATTTTGTAAGCGGAGTAAGTCCTGTGAAGTGCTTTGTGACATCTTGACAACATGATAAGCCACTACATTAAAATTAGGACTTACAAGTATACAAGTATAATTATATATATAGTATTAATCACAATGCAAGGGCATAGCCATGTGGTACATCGGCATTATGACGTTTAGACCAATTGGTTAACAGCCATTAACTGGGCGACTGCCATTCTGTGCCTTTCTATATCCACTGGTTTTCCTCTGAGTGGGGCATAATACGTTCTACCGATTTAAATGTGATGCTACATGTTAGGCCTAGGTTTGCTAATAGTTTGGACACAATAATGCTCCTTGCCTTTGATACAGCACCTTATCACATTATCAAGACATCTCAAAGCGTTTCACAGGCTTTTTACTGACTGTATATTGTAGGCAAATGCTGAGGACAGAGTGCGCATTGCATCCCAGACATGGGAATTTCCATGTGTAGGTGGAATCATGAAACTCTCAGTCTGATTTGAATAATATTAAATGTGACAAATGGATTTCTGCATTGTCAGACATTGGCTGACAAAAAAAATTGCTTTGCCACAAATATAATAAACCCTCAATCTTATCTACCTGGAACTAAAATAAAAAACAGCAATTGGTTCACTTACGTGGTGGAGCTTGTAGCTGGTGATATCCCTGCTGGTTCCAGTAGGGAGGAATTCCCAGAGGGTATGGAGGAGGATAGGCTGGAGCGTAAGAAGGTGTAAACCTGCTGTACATATGGGATAACAGAGGCCCTGGAGGCTCCAGTTCATTCAGGCCAGAGATGAGCGGCCCTGGTTGATCCAGCTGACTGTATCCAGTATCCTCTCGGGATTCATACCCAGTGTCTTTACTTGGTAAGTTCAAGTGGGGCTGGTGCTTGAAAGTAGGAGGAGTGTTTGTGAATGAGCCGTCAGCTCCACTTCCACTTAAATCGGGAGAAACGTCAGGGAGGCTCTTTTGAACCTTATGCAGATCAACCCAGGAAGCACCAAAGTTCAAAGAATCTAGAAGTAATCATAATAATAATAATATTGATTTGATATAGCGCCTTATCACGTTCTTGAGATGTCTCAAAGGGCTTCACAGAATATACTGTAAAGTGAATTGACTGTATATTTTGTGGGCGAAACATGGCAGCACACAGCAGTGTCTCACAAACAGTCGTGGATTTTGTGACCAAATTAGTATTTTTTTTGAAGAATTATTACCCCCGGAAAAGCGATCCACCAATTGATTAACAACCGGGTTCCTACATAATGCTAGGTAAACAGAGGCATGTGGAATAAGGAAACTTGCCCAATGTTTCGCCCTGCCGGGAATCGAACCTGGGTTCTCTTGCCTATGAGGCGAGTACTCTAACCACTAGAGTACTCCAAGTAATCTTGGTTCCACTTGCTGCCTGTCCCTGGCTTTGTTCCAGGTGTCCTTCAATTCCGAGTGGGTTAGGCTAGTCCTCTCTGACGCTTATGCAGGCCTGCCACAGGTCAATCGGTACTGGAGCTGAGACAAGGCTTGCTCTTTCCACAGCTTGAAGAATGCTCAAGCTGGTTGGCATTACAAAGGCCCTCCAATCCAATTCAGGGTCTACCTTGAGCCCCACTGAATCTGGGTTCCTGCATCATGCCGCTCGCTGCCACTGAACAGCTTTGGGAAACAGAAGTCAGGCTGAGCCCGAAACTGCCTGGGGACAGGAGGTAGGTGCCAGCTTTCCATTCACTGAAGCTGTGCCTTCCACAGCCATTTTATTAGCAGAGTCATTATGAGGTGCAGCACTACAGTACAACACAATACAAAATTACATTTGTAAAGCGCCTTTCACGTCGGGAGGCGCTGAACAATCAGGGATGTGAGGGTGGGGGGGTTGGGATCAGGGAGGGCGGAGGGCAGGAGGGTGGCCGAAGGCACGGTCAAAGAGGAGGGTCTTGAAGGAGGCAAGGGAGGAAGTGAAGTGAAGGCAATGTGGGATGGAGTTCCAGAGGGTAGGGGCAGAGAAGGGCTATGATAGGGACTGGGGTCAGGCTTTCCATTGCTATTGCACTGACCAAAAGGTCCTTGTTCTTCACCAATAAAACTGCCTTGTGAAGCTTCAGGCGGGACCCACCAGTCCGTTGTCTCATCCACCTCCTCAGGCATGCTTTGCGGTTCTGCTCCAACTGAAAAAGTTAAGTAAAATGGTACCAGATTGGAACCACGGACAAGGCTACTATTTAAAACTTTAAACTTCCTATAATTTCCCTGTTTTTAACCAAACAGGCAGCACAATGTTCATACTCTGTTGGCCCATCTTTGTAAGCTGAGGTTGTTCAAGTTCCTGGACAGATAACTGTTGCCAGTATTTTGTGCATCCATTCAACGGAGCTTAAATATTCTGAAATATTTAAAACTTTAAACTTGTTATAATTTCCCTGCTTTTCAGCGATTCAGAGATTTTCACTGACAAGCAAGTCAGACCCAGGAAAGTTGAAAATTGTGAGTCATAGAATCATAGAATTATAGAGCACAGAAGGAGGCCATTCGGCCCATCATGTCTGTTCCAGCTCTTTTAAAACAGCTACCCAAATCAACCCTACTCCCCCGCTCTCTCCCCATAACCCTGAAAACTTGTCCTCCCCAAATAATTATCTACTTCTCTCTTAAAAGTTGTTATCGAATCATCTCACCATAACTGGAGATGTGCACTCCCATAGGGCCCATGTGCCCTCTAGTGGTAGTAGAAGGGGAAAAGAATCGCAAAGTTGGCTGCTCACAGTCTCCATGGGGACAATACCGATCAGGAAGACAGAAAAAGGGAAAATACCTGACGCGGTTTAAACATATTGGGAGGGGAACCTTAATACAATGACCTGTATTCTTAGTGTATAGTAGACTACAGTTAAACTGGGAGAGAAGGTTAAGTGCTCAGGTTGCAGTGAAGACAGGCAAGCAGTTCAGCTGCTAAACTGCTTCAGTTCTTGCTGTGTGGAGCACACAGTGAGGGGAATGCAATCAGTGCTAGACAAACATACATCCATAAATACATACATATATCAGAATATCAGCACAATATTCTGATATACCAAAAAACACTTTCCCCTAACTCCCATTTAATAAAAATCAACAACTCGATCTGAAATATTTAGGCAGTGCCTTTGTACAAATGAGAACAAGCTTGCAGGGCTATGGGAAGGGAGTGGGGGAGTGGGGTTGGTTTGGATAGCTCTTTCAAAAGAGCTGGCACAGATACGATGGGCCAAATGACCTCCTTCTGTGCTGTACAATTCTATGATTCAATTAAGTGCATCTGTCTGAAGAGCATGCTGGGAGAAACTTAGGTTCTTTCTTTTTATTCGGCATATTATTCATTCTATTTTTCTTTTATCAGGTGCTGTATTAGGGTTAGGGTTATCCCTGCTCCAGCATCATTCAGTGCAAATGGAGAGGGCAAGCAGACTGGTCACAACAATTATCCTCATTAGTGTGCCACCTAGTATCCTGGTCAATAGCCTTCAGATGAAGCCATTCACTTCAGAGCTGTTCATCATGGGACATTGCTGTGTGCAAATTGGCTGCTACTGCCACCTTTGCTTACAACGTAACAGACACAGCACCAGCAGAGTTAGGCACATGCAATCCATGCATGGTGCCCCAAGACAACAACAACACATTGCATTTATATATTGCCTTTCCAATTGGGAGAATGTCCCAAGAGGGGTCCTTGTTGTTGTGACTCAGCGACATGATCAGGTGGTTTATCATGGCTCGAGTGAAGCAGTGGTATAGACAGAACAAACATTTACGGAGCTGAGATACTTTTATCATAGGTGGTATGTTTTAATGAAAATGAATAGAAGGAAGTACATATTCATTTTCATATATTAATGAAAATAAACACATTTGTTTCATTAACAGGTATGTGATAGCAAATAATATGCTCTGATTTCTAAGGGGACAGGCATGTGATGGCATCTAATACATGACAATTTCTAACAGAATTTCTGAATAAAGAAATCAGTGTCATGCCCACTCACAACCATCCTACATAGCAGAGTTCCAGTGTGTTAGACTTGGAGATATATGTCTCATAAATTATTGACTTTGAAATTAACCACTTCAAGAGAGAAAATTGTAAACATACCTCTCAGGCAATCCATCTTCTGTGGTGGAGCTCACAAATCTATGGTCAGCCAGTGGAAGCACTTGGAGAGCACTTGTCCAATACAAACCTCTGAATAATGCAACACACAACAAATATTCATTGATTCCAAAAATAATAACTGATTTCACATAAGCCACGACCTTACAGAAAATGTTCACATTTCTTTCTAAACTTATTAAAACATATTCTCTCGGAGCATAGTAACAATACGAAGCCTTCAGTCCATTCAAGTCTGTTCCGCCAGTTTATTAGGTCATGGCAGATGTTCTTGTCTGATAGTGATTTACTAATTATTTTCATCAGACTAGATGATAGAGATTACTAAAGATGAATTTAAACAAGCTTACATGGCAAAATGGGCGCTTGGAAAATTAACAAAAATCCTTGCATTTGATATAGCACCAACCACATTGTCACAATGTCTCAAAGTGCTTCACAGGATTTTGACTATGTATTTTATAGGCAAACGCAGCCGACAATATGCGAACAGCAATGCCCCACAAATAGCCATTAAGCGATTTCCCAATTTTTTTTGCGCGGGACAATTGTTGAACAGGATCCGAGCAGAATCTCCCTTCTCTCTGAAGAGTGTCACGGGATGTTTAACATCCATCTGAACAGGCAGACAGGACCCTGTTATAATGTATCATCCAAAGGATGGCGTCTCCAACAATTTAGCGCTCCCCTGCCCTGCCCTGCCCTGCCCTGCCCAGCGTGGAATGCGAGTTCAACGTCCCGTGGGGGCTTGAACCCACAACCTTCTGATCCATGTCATAACATCAATCACAAAAGAAGAATGTGATTGAACAGATCACTTGAAGCAAATGGACAGAACATAAGACGAGCAACAACAAAAAAAGGCACAGACATTTAGGTTAGAAAGAAGCTGCCCCACTGAGCCAAGGACATGTGGAGCCTCACACATTAACAACAACAATTGCAAGTGTGGAGTGTGTGGACCATTGACTGGTTTTGCCTTTGGATCTTAGCCTCGTCTCTCTCTCTATCGCAAATCCCACTTCCAACCTCCCCTCACTGTCCACCCCCCACACACCCCACCCCCCCACACCACCCACCCCCCACCCCCTACACCCCCCACACACCGCCCCCCCCCCCACCCCTACACCCCCCACACACCACCCACCCCGTGTGCAGCCAAACCAACACAAGAACATCTCAGCACTGGGGGTCCAGGACAGCCCAACGCCCCCTCCCCAGGTACCCACCTGGCAGTGCTGTCGCCGAGTGAGCTGCAGCTCAGGGCCGTCGGGAACAAGTGTTGGGAGCAGGAAGAGGAACTCACACACAGATCAGGGACTGTCCACACACCCAACCTATGCAAATCCACGGACCAAAGGACACCCTCCAGCTGAGTGGTTACTGGAACGCGGATCCACTGCTCGCCCAAAGCCTCCTCTGATCCGCCTCCTCCCTGTCCCGTCCCTGTCCCTGGTTCTGGGGTCATTATCAATGCACAGGACGTGTCGGGACGGTTCGGAAACTTCTCCTCCAACTTTCGTCTGTGTGTGTATGTGTGTGTGTGTGTGACTGTCATTAATGTTCTGGGTGTCAGTGATGGACAGGATCTGGAAACCTGCTCCAGTCTGTCCAGGTTTGCTCCTGTCACAGCAGTGAGCCGAGGGGACAGGCTCCAGCCACCAGAGCATCCCACTGTCTGCAGGGGCTGCTGAGCTGAGGCTGGAGAGGGAGGGAGGGAGGGAGACAGACAGACAGACAGACAGACAGACAGACAGACAGACAGACAGACAGACAGACAGACAGACAGACAGACAGACAGACAGACAGACAGACAGACAGACAGACAGACAGACAGACAGACAGACAGACAGACAGACAGACAGACAGACAGACAGACAGACAGACAGACAGACAGACAGACAGACAGACAGACAGACAGACAGACAGACAGACAGACAGACAGACAGACAGACAGACAGACAGACAGACAGACAGACAGACAGACAGACAGACAGAGAGGTAGTCAGTCAGTCTCAGTCAGTGTCTGAGGATTTCCTTTGGCACTAAACTCCAAAAAGTTTACAACTATTGCACCATCTGTTTCGCCCATAAGATATACAGTCAATACACTTTACAGTATGTCCTATAAGGCACTTTGAGATCAGGGCTATATCAATTGCAAATGCAAGGATTATTATTATTATGATTCCCTGTTTAGCTGTGTCCCCACAAAGCAAGTTCACCAATTGTCTTGTTTGGTAAAATTGGCTTATTCCTTTCAGTGCATTTCATTTGATTTTTAATTTAATTTTAGTTTTAATTTGGCATGCACTAGTCGGGTTGAATGGGCTGTTTCTGAGTTACAACGTGCTACGTAATTCAGTGATGTTGGCTGGTTTTGCCTCTGGATCTTAAACGTGTCTCTCTTTCATTCGCAAATCCCACTTCCAACCTCCCACAAATATACGGTCAATTCACTTTACAGTCTATTCTGTGAAGCGCTTTGAGACGTCGAGAAGACGTGAAAAGCGCTATATCAAATCCAAGGATTATTTATTATATATTTATTTATGTTCTTTGCTATTTTGCCCACAGAATATACAGTATATTCTGTAAAATGCTTTGAGACATGCCAACTGAGTGTTAAGGGGCTATAATAAATGCAAGGATTATTGTTATTATTTGGTTATTATTATTAATTCCCTACATATTGATGATGTAAGAAAACATTGGACAAGAAAAGATCACAAGATTGGTTTGTATGAAGAAGGCCAACCCAGTCTTATTTCTCCAGAACACCCACCTTACTGTGCCCCCATTACATTATAGAGTCAATCCACTTCACACTATATTCTGTGGAGCGCTTTGAGACATCTCAACGACATGATAAGGTGCTATATCAAATGCAAGGAATATTATTATTATTATTATTATTATTATTATGATTATTATTATTATTATCATCAAGCTGCTTTTTAAATTAGTCCAGTCTCCTTGCCTCAATCACCCTTCCTGGCAAACGGTTCCAGTTATTGATTATGATTACCCTTTGAGTAAAGAGAATTATTCGCTCATCAAAGTCAGCTCCCGCTACAGACCCTTGTCCCTCTTGCTGCTTTCACCCACCACTCTATTTTCTAATCAGAATTCGTTTGGCTCTCCTCATAATCTACAGCTCAAAGTCTCATCCTTGTTCATCCAGATCATCCATCCAGAACCACAGCTTTTTTTGATTCACTGATCAAATGCCCTTAAGATGCAACCTGAAATCTATGAGTTTTGTGAATTAATTTCACACCATCTGGAAATCTTAAACAATTCCTCCTAAATTCTTTCCTTCTCCATTTCTGCTAATGAATATCTTTTTATTGTCATACATGTTCACAGTGTATCTTATTCCAATGTGTATTACAGTACCGCACAATTGTGTATTAAAATTAACCTCAGATTAGGTGCATTATAGAATGCTTAATTATTAAATATAACCTAAAATGTCTAATGAAATAAGAATAAATTAAACTTGCATTTAAAATTAATTAGAATCAGGTTTGTGATAAATTTCTATTATCATTTTCTGTCTATCAATAATAACACAGAGAAATTATACCGGAGGAGCCATAATGGTGTAGAAAACTTTGCAAGAGATAAATGTTTCATTGCTAATATGCCTATACTTTACAGTAAATCCTGTGAAGTGTTTTGAGTCATTCTGATGACATGATAAGGGGCTATATCAAATGCAAGGATTATTATAATTGTACACTGCGAGAAATCACAGGGCCAAAAATTCTGTGGCGATATTTCATTGGTATTTCCTGATTCATAAATATAATACAAATTTACATTTATACAGCGTCTTTCACATTCCAAGTCCTTGGCCATCCCAAGGTGCTTGACAGTCCTGTATTGGACGCGAGCTGAGGAATGGGAGTTAAGGGGGTGGGGAGGGGAAAGATAACCAAAGGAGCAGTCAAAGAGGAAAGTCTTGAGACAGAAATTGAAAGAGGTGAGGGAAGGGATGAGTCAGAGGACTCTGAGATGGAGTTCCAGAGGTTGGGTGGCAGACAGACTGAAAGCCTGACAGCCAATGGTGGGGTGGGGAGGGTAGATAACAAGAAGCAGGATATGAAATATTATTTCAATATAATATGAATATATAATAATAAACATAAAATATATTACCAATATGATATGAATACAGAAATAAACATTAAACATAGATACAAATTTATGCAATAACAAAGATGATTTATTTGATAGAAACTGTCAATGCTTACACTTAACTGGAAAGATGAACAGAAAGAGTTTTCCGTCACAGATGAATGGAAACATATTGTGTAAGGGTTTTACCATCTAGTGGCCAATACATGTATTTCAGTACAATTTGGCATTTGCTTTGGTCAGTCCGGTGTCTCATGCAAAAAAAAATCATCTTTCTTAGCAGAGTCTAGACCAGGGCATAAACCAAGAAATATTCAATCAAGAACATTTATTTTGTTGGGCAACCATATAGGTTGGCTACCACTGGCCAATGCCAAATGTAAGGATTGTTATTGGTATCCTTTAGTGCAAAGTGGCAAGAATATGTCATCTTTCTTCCATCTTTTATCTTTCTCTTCTCTTACTGTTCTTTCTGTCTCTTCTCTCCTGTCTCTTCTGTCTCTGTGGGATTTGCCAGTGCTGCTGTTCACCATTTTGCTTCTTTCTCCACTGAGAGAAAGCAGGAGAATGAAGTAGGGCTTCAGCTGCTTCACACTGATTCTTTATTGAGCCCTCCAGACATTCAGCGGACAAAAGATGAAGGTTATAATTAGTTCAAAAACACTCCTGAATTTTATTAAATTTTGGACATATTTTTAGTATGAATAGCTACTGCTTTATTTCACATAATTTAAGGAAATATATTGAGATACACTATGCTAATCATAATAAATTAAATAAAATAGCTCATTCACTTCACGTTTCCTATCTTCACCTATAAAACACATAATCACTACACTTTACATTAAATAATATTCTACTTTTATTATTGTTAATAATAATCTTTGCATTTGAGATAGCGCCTTATCATCTTGTAAATATTTCTCAAAGCACTTCACTTAGTATAGAGGATAACGACTGTATTTTTGGGCGAATACACTCAGAACAGTGCAGAACAGCCATATAGTGAGTGATCACTTTTATTTGAAGGATTATTAATAATAAGTGACCAAATTAATATTTTCTCATTTTTTTTTGAACGGATTGTTATCCCCAGAAAAGGGATCCGCCAATTGACTAACAACCAAGTTGCTACTTACTGCTAGGTAAACTGTGGCGTGTGGAGTAAGGAGACTTGCCCAACATTTCGCCCTGCCCGGGAATCGAACCCTTGTCCTCTTGCTTGCGAGCCAAGTGCTCTAACCAATAAACTACAGGACTCTCACTGTCTTGAATGTTGGTCAGGACAGTGGGAGAAACACCCTTTCTCTTTTTGATTAGTAGCATGGGACTTTTAAATACCACCTAAACAAGCAAAGGGGACTTTGGTTTAACATCTCATCTGAAGAATGGCCCCTCCATCACTGTGGTGCTCCCCCAGTACTGTATTGGAGTGTCAACCTGACCTATGTCCTGAAGTCTAGAGATCTATTAATTCAGCCAGCCTGACACTCCTTTAGATTTTGAAATACACAAGTCATTTATTTACCTACTTAGAGGTGTTTTCAAATACTGTAATTTCTCCCTCTAGTAGCTTTTCCTCCTCCACACTCATAGCGTCCATTCTGATCTCATAAACGGACTGAATGCACTCAGCGTTCAGCTTCCCATTACGGCACCTGCAGCTTCTGCAATTTGCATCCTGTGGGCTCATCCTCTTTGCATCAATTTCCAATTATGTGAGCAGTGACTTAGTTTGTATGAATTTATAACTGGTTTTGTGGTATATAAATAGTTTTCACCCCAAATATGTTACAATTGTAAACATTTCCCAAGTGACTGCGCATGGAACAGCATTCCACCCAGTAATGGCAAGATATATATTGTTTCCTGATGAATCATAATCCATCAATAAAGTTTAAATACTTGTCTACTACTGCAATCCATGTCATGATTTAAAAATAAACCAATTTGAATGTATTGACTTAAGCCGTTGTTTATAATACGGTTTCCTTGGATTTCACCTTACAGACAGTGATAGTGATGTATGTGACTTAATATAAACTGTGACTGACTAATTTCTGCTCCTGTGAATGGATCCACACTGATAACAGGCTGAGATTACTTTTAGTTTACTTGCTATCACTGCCGTGTAACTCATATAGGAGATTGCAGAATAGCAGAAAAACTGCTGAAATCAGTTTTCTCCTCTATGGTAAATGGGCAGAAAGATTGAAATATTTTCATCCAGGTTCTCGAAGCCATCCAAGTGGCTGTAGCAACCAGCTAAACTCACTGCTAAACTGTTGTTATTCTATTCCAACACTATTGTTAAGTTATGGGGAATAAAATTGTGCAGATCTTGCAAAATCATACCCAGTGATTTTGTTCTCACTGATCCAAAACCAAACCCTAGAGAAGGAATCTCTAATTATAATTTTGGTGGCGGCCACACCTACTTTTCAGAAATCATCCTCTCCTATTAACAAAAGTAGAATGAAAACATAATTACATAGCCATATCCTATTCTATAATGACTCTGACCCATTAGAAACATATCCATCTCTGAAATTTCAAGAGAAACGCCCCAAAACTCCTGTCAATCAAAAGAGAGTGAGTATTGCACACAAGTAGTTGTTTTTTTTTGGTCAGCCGGTGCCAAGACCTGCAGATACCCAGAGGACAACCACATCAACATCCTCGATACAAGTTCATCAACTGAGCAGCACAGAAAGCTTAACCCCCATGTACCTCCAATAGAGACCATACAATGGAACACAAAGAAAGTCCCAATCCACTTTATAATGGGCACACCATCACTGGCTAACGCTCTGTATTCACTGCACATGTGAACAGGCAGCCAGCTGACCTCCCACCTGCTGGCTCCTGTGCTAAAGAAAATGTTTAACTTAGCATCAGATCACTGTCAATGCCACTTCACGTATGCTGTATAATGTGTGAGTTTGCCAGCGTGGGGAAGCTAGTTGACTGGCTTTTTGGATTTTTTTATTGGTAAATATTGGGGTTCCATATCCAACCTCACGCTAAATAAATGCAAGTTATAATGGGATTTCACTGTATACTTACGCTTGCTATTAACAGCTCACTCTTACACAAACCTTTGTTCCATGAAAGCCCTTCTCCTTGGTGCCAGTCTTGGGATAGAGCACTTCACTGGTAAATAAATAATCACATTCAGCATTGTGTTGAAGGAAAAAAAAATTATTTAATTTCATCATGGAACAATATCAGAAGGGAAGTTAGAAGAAATTGTTTTCACAAACAATATGTGGGAATATGTTACCAAAACTGGTTGATGCCAAGTCAATTGCGTCATTTAAAAACTCTGCAGCCAGTGTCCTCATCCAGAATTCTGCAACCTGTGTCCTCTCTCACACCAGGCTCTGTGACCCTATCACCCCCATCCTCGCCCAACTCCACTGGCTTCCCATCACACAGAGGATACAGTTCAAGATCCTGGTCCTCATCTTCAAATCCTTCCATGGTCTTGCTCCCCTACCTCTGCGACTACCTAACCCCTTACCATCCTGCCCGCTCCCTCCGCTCAGTGGCTCTGGCCTGCTTCACGTCCCCCACCTCGCTCATCCCACTATTGGTGGGCAGGCGGGCCTTCTGCCACTCTGCCCCACCCTCTGAAAAGCCATCCCTCAGTCCCTCCGCCCTACCCCCTCTCTTGCCTCCTTCAAAACCCATCTCAAGACCCACCTCTTCGACCATGCTTTTGATCACCCTGCTTCCCCCCAGCCCTCCACTCTCCCCGATCCCGACCCCCAGCTCGGGTCCAAAACTCTGTCTGTCCAGCAACTTTGGGACGTACTCCCGACATGAAAGGCGCTATACAAATTAATTTTGTTGTTGTTATTGCACAATGTGTGAGTTTGAAAGCATGGGGAAACTAGCTGACCGGCTTTTGGGATTTTTTTGTTGGTAAATATCTGTATTCAATCTCACCCTAAATAAACACAAGTTATAGTGGGATTTCATTGTATAGTTACACTTGCTATCAACAGCTCATTCCTATACGAACCCTTATTCCATGAAAGCCCTTCCCCTTACTGCCAGACTTGGGATAGACCACTTCACTAATAAATAAATAATCACATTCAGAATTGTTGAAGGTAAAAAAAAAATTGTTTAATTTCATCATGGAACAACACAAAGAGGGGATGTTGGAAGAAATTGTTTTCACAAACTATATGTGGGAATATGTTACCAAAAGCGGTTGATGCCAAGTCAATTGCGTCATTTAAAAAGGAGAAATTAGACAAACACAGGAAGAATAAAATGTGTATGGGGCGGGGGGAGGAGGGGAAAAGCAGAGACATTGGATTAAAGTACTGTAGATAGGAAATGGGATTAGAGTAGATAGAAAATGGTTTTACAGTAGATAGCTCAAACAAGGAGTTGGCACGGCACTAGCAACATGGGATCGAAGCCCTTCTAATGTGCTACAATGCCAAGGGTTCAGCAGTCTTGAGTCCCTGAGTAAACTGGATATTTTATAAAAATTGCATTTGTCAAACAGTCACTAACAACTGAAATATTTTGCATTTTTTTCAATGATGCACAATTTTGCAACAGGTGCCTTGCAATTAGGCACAATGGGCCCTTAATATTACATATAGCTAATTATGAAAATTTATTTAACTATAATTGATTCTATGTTACACATACATATCCACACAAATATCTCTAAATTAAGTGTCACAACATGAAAACAGTTACTTGTTTATTTCCCCCGTATGTTGCGTATCCAGATTTTTCTTTGTGGAGCCAATCTCAAGGAAGGTATATATCTGCATGGTTCAGTTTTCCTTTTTTAGGACGTTACTGTCTACTTTTTTCATCTTTTCTCCGAGCTCAATTTGTGTGGCAGCTGACAGAGCTGGCAACTTACTGCGAAATGCACCCTTCAGTCAATCCCATAGGGGGTAGAAGAAAGAAATGTTCACATTATCCCTTTTTGTTCTCCAAGAGATCAGGAACTCATATCACTGGCCCTTGTTGTAAGCACCTGGATATTGTGGTCCTGAATTGGTGAATGGATAATGGTGCCATCTAGTCCAGCACTAACCTATACACACCAGAGAGTTGATTCAAGTTACGATTCAGGTTCAATTTCCAGTTTCGAGTCCTGAATTACTTGATTTGATCTGGGACTGGCTAGGTAGACTGCAGTTGTCTTTTCAAGTCAAGACCAGTTGTATTGTCCTGACTGTTGTTTTCAGTCTCAATGTTATAGACAATATAAAAATGCAGATTCATTTTTTAAATATTACCTTTCCTATTCCCTGCCCTGTAAACACTGTACAAGAAATAAACATGGTCAGCAGTTCCACTTAGAGCAATGTGACACTTCTAAAGGATGTAATAATATGACACCAACTTTGTACTTACAGCTGAAATAAGACATATTCACTCAGCCTGAACCAATATCACACCTCTAATACTGCTGATGGAATTACCCTATCTCTGTTAGATATAATTCCATTGAGGCTATTGGGGATGTCCTTAGTGCAAGAGCTCTACAGGAGACTCTCAGGGATCCATTGTTGCCTATTCAAGTGCAAAGAGGATTCTCTAATGTGTGCTGATGGAAGGCACAAGGTGAGGTCACCGGATTTCAAGGGCAAGATATGAATGTGGATTTGAAAGAAGGGAAAGAAGCAGAGGGTAGTTATTTATTGAGGGAGCTAAGACACAATGGAAAGAGCACTTGCCTCGAAAGGGAGAAACCTGGGTTCGATTCCAGGCAGGACAAACCTTGGACAAGTTTCCTTACTCCACACGAATGATAATAATCCCTCAAGAAAAAAAACAATAATAAGTTGGTCACTTCAATCCACGACTGTTTGTGGGACACTGCTGTGCACAATTGGCTGCCGTGTTTCGCCCACAAATATACAATCAATTCTCTTTACAGTATATTCTGTGCAGTGCTTTGAGACGTCTAGAAGATGTGAAAAGCACTATAACAAATGCAAGAATTATTATTTTTATAATGGAAGGAAGTATTAAGTTGAGTGCCTCAGGGGTCTGTATACTGGGACCCCCTTCTATTCCATGCCTACATTGACGACTTGGATTTGCAGACTCAGTGTAAGATAGTTCAATTTGCAGATGACACCAAGTTGGTAGGAACTGTGAAATCAGACTAAGCAGGGAAGATCTTACACAGAGAGCTAGATAGGATATGCACATGGGCTGATGACTGGCAATGAAATTTAATACAAAGAAATGTAAGGCACTACACATAGGAAGTAAATATAGGAAGCACATGTACTTCATTACCAATGCAGCAGTAATAAGAAGGCTCGGAGTTACAAAGGGCAATTTCAGGATAGACACCAGGAAGTTCAGCCAGAGGGTAATTCATAGCTGGAATGGGTTACAAGTTATATAGTTGAGATCAGAATGCTGAACTCATTCAAGAAACAACTGATGCTGCCATGGGAAGACAGTAGCGTAGGTATTCTGGAAGGATGAGATCAAATGAGCTGAGGAATATCCTTCATCTGAACCTCTTTTGGTTAATTTGTGTGAGAGAAAGATATTGAATATCACAACAAAACCTTGGCCTATACAACGATGGAAGCACAGTGAACGGTCAGCGAGCATACACAGGAATGCATTTGCAGAAACACAAATAGAGGTGGTTAATGTGCACAGTTGTAGCATTACTCTCATAAAATAAATCTACAATTAATTTTCATAATGCAAGGAGTTTAAGCAAATGAGTTGTACCATGGATAGGACTCGGCTCTAAAGCTCCATTGCTCTTCCCATATGTCCAAACTAAAATACTGAGATCTTTAAAATATATTTTCTTCCTTTCATTCACTCTTGCACCTTGTCTCTGTGTCTTTTTCTCCCTTTCTCTCTCTCTCTTTCTCTCTCTCTCTTATGCTTTCCTCTGAAGACCGTGGGAGGTCTGGAAACTCTCTTACATTGTGGAAAGGTTTCCGTCAGCGATAACCCCCAATGTAATCTCTGTAACTCAATACACTGGAGTTGAGATATTGTACAGCATAAAGCAAGTGATGGAATACTTGTATGAAGATTGTTACTGTGCCTTCAAGCTAATGCGCTGGTTGTCCCATAACACTGTAGAGTTTGAGTCCTGTGTGTGAAGCTTCTGTGGAGTTTCTGGTATTCCTTCTCCTGAAGGTTAAGACCATTAGGAATTCTTGGCGGAACCGCTTGCTGACTACACAGTACAGCACAAAATTGATGGCTGAGTTCAGCCACTGTAGCATGATGCCGATGTCTGCAAACAAGTTGATGAGCTGGGTGTAGTCATTGCGGTCATGCTTTGGTGTGTTATACACTGTTCTCAGGATACAGTAGGTCACAAAGCGTGGCAGGGCGAGGAAGACGAAGGTGAAGGAAACGGTGAAGAGGATAATTACCGACTTCTTAACCAGGCTGCGGGCAGTGATGCCGCTCATGGTCCTCCTCTGCTCCTTGGTGAACATCCTGGTGGTCGCATAGAGCTGCTGGCAGATCAGGGAGTTGAAGAGGATAATGAGGATGAAGGGTATCCCGCCTGAGATGAAGGTGTGGAACCAAACGACTGCAGTGGAATAGAAGCTGTCATTATAGACACAGAGAAGTAGTGTTTCATTGCGAACAGTCAAGTTATGCTTCTGAGCGCTGTTGATCCAATATGCAGGAACTGCGATCAGATGCGAGACCAGGATCACACATAGGATGATTCGGACAGTCACCTTGGTCTGGGAGCAGTGTTGTCTGGCTTGGGTACTCCGCAACACCAGGTAGCGCTCCATGGTGAAAACAATTACAATCCAAATGGAACTGAACAATGAGCCATATTCCAGGACTGTAACCAGACCGCACCACGGGGGACTGTTCCAGAAAGGGTTTGGGTCTAGCCACACCAAACTTAGGTCAATCAGCCCACCCCAGAACAAACACAAGGTGTCTGCAATAGCCAGGGAAATCAGGTACAGTCTTGCAATCTTGGACATGCCACATTTCCTTTGGTGGATCGTGTACACTGTAAAAAGATTGGCTGAGGAGCAGAGATAGAGGAATGTTAGTCATCTCATTCTGAACTTGTTAGGACTGAATGAACATTAGAAAACAGGGGAAGCAAGCCCTTCAAGCCTGGTTGTATCTTGCTTACCCTTTCACAGGTCACATGGTTATATTTTACTGACCACAAAAGATAGTGTGTTTTTCCAAAGCTGTATTATGATCACTATTTTTAGCAATCAGCGTACATTACATTCCCACTTCTAATTCACTCTGTCATGAACTCAATCCTATAACATGGTCAGTAAGTTAATCCCCACATCTTATTTGTTGCTGCTGAGCATCAAGTGTATCACGCTTGAGCCCAATCCTCTCCTCACTCGATATCCATGCATGCTGGCTTTTACAACAACAATAACTTGCATTTATATGGTGGCCCTCACACAGCGTAGTTTTTTGGAATGCTTAAAAATATTTTGTGGGTAAAACACGGCAGCCAATTGCGCACAAACAGTCGTGGATTGAGTGACCAAATCATTATTATTATTATTTTATATTTTTGAAGGGATTATTATTAACCCCAGAAAGCGATCTGCCAATTGATTAACAACCTGTTCCTACTTGCTGCTGGGGAAACAGAGTTGTGTGGAGTAAAGAAACTTGCTTAAGATTTTGGTTTGTCCATGAATACTGATAGCTCACTCCTAATAGTGGGGTGGATAAGGCATAGCACATGTAGCAGGCTGAGACATGTTGAGCCAACGGAGCAGGTAGATTAGTAGTTTTTGAGGATGTCACAGAGGTAGCTTGGGATGAGACTGTGGGGTGATTTAAATGTGAGAACAACGATCTTGAACGTAATCTCCTGGGGGTTGGGGAGCCTCTGGAGTCAAGTGAAGGTGGGGTAGATAGGCTTATGGAGCCTGGTGCGGGAAAGGACACAAACTGTACAGCTGTGGTTAGTATGAAGCTTGTGTAGTTCGACATGCAGAGAGCTGGCAAGATATTTTAATTTTTCCAGCTTGAACGTGATAAATACATGAATGAGAGTCTCTGTGGCCTAGAGGAGAGGTAGTGGCAGAGGTGGACAATGTTTCGGAGGTGGGGGAAAGCTGAGCAGGTCGGAGCACACGTGTGACACTTTCGGTTCCTGGAAGATGCCATTATTTGCACCACTGGTATTGCTTATTCAGGAATCAAATTAAGAAATCTTGTAAATGAGACTCCTAAATCAATGACCCCTAAATCAGCTCTGATATTCTATCCTGAGTGAAGGGAGCTATATCAATGCGATTTGTTATTGTTGTCAAAATCTATCCAGAGATCACTGCTACCTCATCTCTGCCTTCCTCTTTTACTATGAAAAATCTCTGTAGATCAGCTTTAACTTGTGTGTATACTGAGTATAATATGAAAAGCCGTGGAGCCTACCTGGTATTCCAATGGCACACAGTGAAGGATAGTATATTTTCTGCACAGTCGCAAATCTGTTGTACAGAGTGGGGGCCATGTCCAATGTGTGGCTTTATTCCCTGGAAATTAAACCAGGTGTTTCATTCTCACAGCAATTACCTGAAAACAATACAACCTCAAGTTATTTTCACGTATTTACTCTGCTGCTGTGGAAACCATCACCTGTTTCTCCAGAACAGTAAAACTATCCTCCGTGGGCGGGAGGTAAACAGAGTCTTGGAGTTGAACTGGCTCCAAGATGACATGTTTAGCAACAAAATGTCAGAAGCAAGCCAGCCTCTCTATGGTGGTCTTGGTAGTCCGGTTCCTGAGCCTGGTGAATCCACAGTATTCTAGGGCGCTACTGCTGACAGCACAGCCTGCCTGGCTCATCGGCAGGACCTGGAAGAGCAGATCAGTCACTGGGGGCAGGAAATCATTCCACTCAGCTCCTGTTAATCTTGCAAGCCGAAGCTCTAATGTCGGGTGGTCCTAGCTGGACATGCAGTGGGAAGCTTCAACAGCAAGCTATGCAGTTTTAGCTGGTTAGACCCCAGCAATACCCTAACACATACTCTGGGGTTCCCAAGCCTAGACGCACATCTACATGTATGCCAGGAACATTGGTGCACATGTTACTGGTCTTGGGTGATGTTTATTGACAGTGACATAATTACCAGAGAAAGTGGCACATGTTCCCAGGGACAGTGATACAAAGGTATAAAGCAAATTCTAGAACCCTTATTTTCCTGCATGAAATTAAATACCTCAACCCAGTGAACCTGGGTTCTCCTCCATTGATAGCTTGGCTTCTCACCGGAAAAACATAAGATGAGAGGGCTATAAGAGGATAATACCATCTGAACCCTGAGAGGGTGGAAATTTCTGCTTTGTAATCGCTCCTGATAATCCACTGTTCTGATTATTAATGTTCATTCACTATCTAGTAATTCAGTAAAACCGGTGATAACGTAAAACAGATATTTTGTAACTTCCTGTGAGCATGCAAGGTTGTCATTCTTAATTAAGTAGCACATTCTAACCATTCACAGATGTCACTGTAATAGCACCAAATAAAGCCTTAAAAAGCCTTAACAAGCCTTGGATGTGAAGCTTGCTGTCCTCTTAAGAATGAGCTATACGACTATAGCTCATACACACAGGGCGGACAAAAGGCAAAGTAGTATCAATGTGAACCTTGTGGTCTTCCCCCACATAACCAAAAGCATTAAGGAAAAAAAAGGACGATTTTTCAATTAATTTGTAAAATATTTTGAACGACACCGTAGTTCGGACCTGTTGCGCAACACTTGAGATAAGCACTTCATGGGCAATAAATATTTTATTTAAAATTTGATAGTAGGTTGTACTAAACCGGTATGTGCACCACAAGAACCCAAGATTTGCTTGTGTATCTGAGGTTAGTCCTGACTGCTTGATGAGTCTGTACCTTTTAACCTTCTGCATAGTTGTGGCAGGATTTCTGGTGAAAGTTGTACAGTACGCCTGATTGAATTATACGACTGTGCCACCCCAAGGTCAAATACAATGAGTCTATGAGCTCTCAGTCATGGTTGCTACTGTAATAGAATAAGATCAGGAGCGTTTGGTGCTTCTGGATGTACTGACCCTGCACTTAGTTTTATGGCTGGTACCCTGGTGATATTTGTACTCTCTGCCTGGCTGAATTAGGCGGCTGTGCCACCCACGGCATCAAAGTGATTGCTGAATTCCAGTTATTTTATACGAGCGCCTCGATCTCTGAACAGAATTACAATACAGAAGAACAGTGCAAATTCTGCAACAATATTTAAAAAGCTGGAAAATGTCCCTCTCTTCCCACCGACCCCTCAAACAAAACACCAACTACAGAAAAGGTTGGAAATCCACAACGAGGCAATCAGCATCTGAGAGAAAAGGGTAGGTTAGTGCTGCAGGTGCAATCCAGATCTGGCAAAGCCAGAAGGTTAACCTAAATTTCTCTCTCGGATACTGATTGACCCACTGAGAATTTCCAGCATTTCTACTTTTACGACAACTACAACAACTTTGATTTCTATAGGACTCTTCACCTCGGGTAGTTTCTTGTAGTGCTGAACATTGGAGTAGTATGATTCTGAGCTGGGCAGAGAGGAGAAGTGATAGTAGGCACACTCAAAGAGGAAAGTCTTTGGGTGAGATCTGCCAATGAGTAAGGAGGGGGCAAGGAGGAGGGTTTGTGGCATGGAGATCTAGAGGTTTAGGGTGTAGTGGCTGAAAGCTGCCGTTGGTAAAGTCGAAGGGTCGGGGGATGCGCAGAAGATCGGAGAAGCGAGCAAAGCGGGCGGGTGGAGGAGTAGAAGGTGCTAGGGCCCGAAGTGATTTGTAGATGAATGTAAGGATCTTGATTGATCCATTCAATTTCCGATAGGACCGAGAGAGGAATATAGTTAAGAAGATTCAAGTACTGTTGAAAACTAGGATTAATTTCAAGGTTGCTGGGGAGCTCTAAATGGAGACATAGGGAAACATGGAGCTGCGGGTGTCTTGAGGGTCAGAGGTGAGCAGGAGGTAAGCCACGAGTCACCCTGGGCTGCTTATTAAGGGCTACTGATTATCTAAGGTCTTGAAAAAAGCATATTAAATACAGTACCCTGTACGAACGGGTTAAGCAATAAAACAAAAACAGTGGTAAAGAACAACAATCTTCTGGTCAGTAAAAAGTTCCCACTCTATACTTACATCTGGAGAGTTGGTGGCTTTACTGACTAGCGGGAATATGCATCCCTGAGTCTCTACAACCTGCAGCATGTAACAAGCCACACTTTTTAAGGAGAGGAGGAGACTGAACTTGTTCTTTTCGAACAACTTACAACATTAAAATGTTTCAAAGCACTTCACAAGTAATTAATGTCAAGACTAGTGACAAAATTTTAGGAAACAAGGGATCCACATGCATAAACTAAAATATAATGAGGTGAATCAAGTGGATAAACCAATTTGCCTGAAGGAACCAGGGAAGGGCGAGTATTATTTATATAAAAGATAACAAGCTAAGAGCCTGGAGACAAAAGACTATCTTTACATTCTATTGAAAAGCATAGGGAGTGAATAAAAGTACTGGCTAAACAATGCTTGTTGACTCTTGTGGAAAAATAATACCAACACAGACTTGATGGATGTTGCCCCCCGCTCAGCGGGTGTCAACAACAGCAACAACTTGCACTTATATAGCACCCTTCACACTGGGTAACGTTTCAGAGCACTTAATAGTGGCGGAGCCTGGCTCCGAGCTGGGGCGGTGGGGGAAGGTCACTGTAAACACGGTTGAAAAGGAAGGTTTTAAGAGGCAAAACGTGGAGAGAGGGGGCAAGGCGGAGGGATTGAAGGAGAGTGTTCCAAAATTTGGGGCGTAGTGCTGAGGGTGCGAGTGACATGCAGGAGGCTGGTGCCAGGCGAGCGGAGGTGCCAGGTGGTGAATTGGGAAGTGAGGAGGTTGGAGAGGTAGGGAGGTGCCAGGGAGTGAATGGATTTGAACACTAGTGTGAGGATCTTGAAGTTG